AATGCATGGGCTAACTGGTATATTAAGCTTTTCCCAAATCCCGTAGGAAGAAGGGCAATAACGTCTTTCCCCTTGATAAAATTCACCAAACATTCTCTTTAAATCCTCGATCTTGGGAATCGTTGCCAACACAGAATGTATGGCTCTTCACTGATTGGCTGGTGGCCGGACTCGCACAAAACCATCTAGTGTATTCTGATTCCTGACCTAGTCGCTGGAGACAAATAAAATTGAGGGGGCACTAGGTGGCACAAGCCTGGCTACAGAACTGTATCTTCAACATTTAATCCATTCTTCCATACAGCACATGTGGGCCCATCTTCAGATCAGGTCTAGATCTTGAGAACCTAACCGGAAAATGTTCCTTTACATTGCCAGTGATACAGTGATACATTGCTCATTTCTGTGACAATATGCAATTTTGGTGAAATCGCTTATTGTGATTCACATTTTCTTGAATGCAGTTTATCCTCAAACAAAAAAAACCTTTTCCCTACACATATCTCTTATTGGTCATCCTCAGCAATGTAGTGAGTGAGTGACAGGGGGATAGGCTCTATTCACAATTACGTCACAAACCAGGAAGACGTTTGGAAACATGCAATGACAACTTCCGGTGTAGTTACCAACACTGGGCTCGCTGACCGTGTGTGACTGTGATTGAAGTAAATATCATGAGTTGTAAAATAAAGACTTCATACGCATGTGCTGTTTGGAATCATCTTGAATTTGGCGCCTCATCTCTTCTAATCGCATGTACCCAGTGTGCTTGGAGTTGTGTGTCAGTGAGGAAATGATGAAAACTGAGGTATGGTTGTAATTGTTGATTAGTCGAACATAACAGAACACTACAGTGAAATGGAGATGAAGAAAACTGGGCCATTTTCTCATTTTTCTAAATTTTGTAAGACTTACTACCATGAACAGAGCCCGCCGGAAGTTGTCATTGCATTTATAAATGTCTTGCTGGTTTGTGACGTAAGCGTGAATAGAGCCAATTGCAATAAAGTATGATGAAGTATTTTCAGAAAAAAAACAAAACAGATTGCTTTAGTCTCCCATTCATGTTTGCATGAATGGTGATGGCGCCAAGAAAACTGTGTTATTATTTTTAGCCATTACTAAGATACCAGGATACTTCACACATGCCATTGTTATCTCTCATCATCATCAGTGACAAAGCCTTCTTTCAGTGGCGTTTATGCAACACTGTGTACGTGTTTGAGATGCCCGGGCTGCCGCGTGCCTTCAAAGGGAGACTATGCAGCTGTGTTGTGCTGTGTGTAAATGAGCCTTGTAATGCTGGCAATACGGGCACCTGACCCACACTCACACACCTGTTTCCAGTGCCCTCACCACGGCCTGTCTGATCGGGAGGAGGGCCAACTTTCTCACGAAGGGACGTGCTCAAAGTCGTATGTCAGAGAGAGGAGCAGGATGTATCGTCTTCTCGCGACCTTTTAACCTTTGAACTCAAGGTCGGGTTTACGTAGCAACAGTACTCATGTAAATCTGTCCCGTCCTTTCCTGTCCACTCCCGCACTTTGATTCATGTCAATGTGATTAATGCTACCAGACGAAAATTTACAAGATGGTGATTTTAATCTTCAGGAATTGGTTTAGCAATTTGTTTTCAAAGTTGTATGTACTTTGATGGAGTGCCAACTGGCCATTCTTCACTTTCTAGTCAACTTTTGTCAGGAAACCAGTAGCTATTGGGATTTGGCAGGCTGTGTGATGTAAACCAGATGCCCCTCCAGATATAACCAGCCACAGTACATTGACTGGAGTTGGCAAAGCTGGCAAAGAGGCTAGAACATCTCTCAAAAAAGTATGGCCATGTGCAGTGCATTTACGTTTTCTGGTAGAGGGTCTCCCACCTGCTTGTCTCTATGGTTATATTATTTCTTTGCCTGGAATGTTCCATAGTATGACATTAAACTTTGTTATCACCGTGGAAACAAGCAGGTGACACCAACAGGCCAAGTTAGTCAGATCTGTGGAGCGATGATGCCACTCAAGAATAGGGGTGTGCAAAAGTGATCGAAATATCAATATACCATTATCATTTAATGTGCTGATGCCGTTTTTATTTAAATTTTTATTGTTTTTATTATTATTATTATATTGCCTAGAAAAAGTTTTGTTACATTTTACTAAATTATTTTGTTACACCGCTACAGTTTTTTTGCTTGTTTAGATTAAGGAAACTCAGTTTTTGCAACACATTTGATATTTTCACTGTTTTGATGATTAAAATGGGCATGTTTCATATTCACTTTGCATAAAAGGTGGTTTAACAGAGACTTTTAGGATCACAGCCATGATTTAGCCATTATTTTTTGAATCGATTTGAACTATATCATATCGTATAGAAAGTTCACCGTATCGAGGCATATATCGTATCGCAGCCTACGTATTGTATTGGCAACTTCTTAATGATACCCAGCCCTACTCACGAATACAAGTCATACTGTGAAACATTTTAGATAAAACAATAGAAAAGCAGGTGCCAGACCCTCCCTCTGTAAGGTTTCATAATGGACCTTTAAATTTTGTGGTAGGATTCCAAAAAAGACAACTGCTGTTATGTTGTGAGAAAGATTTGAACTGGCTAAGTCCTCCGTGGTTTCCTTTAAGTCTGGTAGATAGAGACATGCACATCCAACAAAAATTGCAACTGTGTGCTGGGTCCAAAAACAAAAACTGCAAAAGAAGAAAGAGATCCGCACTGCAGTTCTTTGAAGCTCCCAGATTTCATTCTTCAAGTATGAAGAAGGACTTGACCCGAAACGTCACATTGTGGTGTCATTGAAATCAAAATTTGTGAGCATCAAAGAACTGTAGTGCGGATCTCTTCCCTTAAATCTCTCCTAGGTTTGGGTTGCCTGTACCAACTTTAAATTTGTTGTAGATTCCTCTTCCTTTGAGACGGATACTACTACTCTCCTCCCATGCTACATCACCGCGACATGCTGTCACACCCTTAAACATGCTTAAACCCTGGAATTGTCCCTTAACCCCTTTGGGCTAATTACCAAACTTCTTTTCACCCTTTCTTTTTTTTTTAAACGTAGGTCTGTTTCCTCCGCTTGGCGCTCATTACTGGCCGGGCCTCAGCTCTTTCATTAAACCAGTGTGGAGTGGTAGGAGACCAAGGGACAGGCGGAGGTCATAATTGGGCCGGCTCCACTCCCCTGGCCTAGCTCAAGGTCACGTCCAGACAAACCGCCATCTTTCTTTCCCGCTCTCCTACAGCTCACCATTTCCTCTCCCTTCATCCTTCTCTCCTCCTGGGGTTCTTTTGTCACAGCAGACCGGTCCGCTGGGGCAGTTACAGAGAAGTGCAGGGGCTAATTCAGTCTAATCTCTCCACTGCTAATGTCTGGCTGATATGTGGATTTCTACACGTCCTCCAGGGAAGGCCTTTGTGGTTAAGGCCATCATTATGAAGTTTCCAAGCCAATTATAAAAAGGGGAGGGGAATTAGTTCAGTCCTAACCGGGATCCTAAGAAGTTTCTGATGATTGTTCTCCAAGTTTAGAAAGTGATCGTTCTGAAAAGGTTGAGATAAGAGTATAGCCCACTTGTACTTACAGCTTTAAGGAGCTGTACTGGATTTTTTCATGTAATAAGTAAAAAAAAAAGCTGTCTTCTGTCTGCAATTTTACCCTCCGTGAACCAGAAAGTGTACTGTTAGCATGCTGGTTGTTTATGCCAGCATTAAAGTGATGGCAAAACTCCACTCTGGCTTCTCAAAGTTGCGGAAAGTGCTCGTAAACTCATCTTGGCGAATAATTAGGATGGAATACGTTAGAAAAGTAAGACCGGACCACTGCGAAGTTGTCATTTTCTTGAGTAGAACTTGGATTTTGTAGTACGTTTGGGCCTATCATGTGAGGTTTTGTACAAGTTAGAAGATCTAAACTACGTATAGTGGTTGAGGTCAGTGTCTATCATCTCCCTCTGATTAAGACGCAAGAGCGAGAGTAGCCTTTAATCGCGGACGCATGCACAAAGACACTCGCAGTTCATTTGTCTGACCTGGATACTACCTCACTGTACAGCGAGGGCCATGTGAAAACGAAGGAAAAGCTTGGTTATTTATGAGGAATGTTAATGATGTTTCGAGTTGACTGAATTGACCTTTTCGTGTATTTTGGTTTGTAACAGAATCTCAATTAGAGTCTTTTTATTGTCACTCTTTTACTACTTCGCTGAATTAACGCTCCGCGGGTAACTTCTTATTGACCACGTAACTTTGGAGAGTTTCCAACCCACACAATTCAAAGCAGTTGTTATTATGTAGTCAAGAGATGGACAATATCAGAACTTTTTAGTGTGTAGGATATCGACCTTAAATCTCCAGCACAAAGCTTTATTATTATCACTTTAATTCAAAGACATAATTGCGCAAAACTTGACTACACAGCTCTCTTAAATGTTTGTACCAAAAAAAAAGAGCTGTGGAAGAATTTGTAGTCAACAGTTTGGGTAAAATTATATAAACTGACACTACATATTACACCAAAAATACTGGCGGAGCTTATCAGTCATTGGTTTCTCTGGATTCCAAACAATCAGCACAGGCCATGAAAAAAAGAAAACACATCACTCGATCTCTCGTTAAGACATGAACGAATAACAAGGAACAGAATTAGAATCTGGAAATGTTTACATTATACAGTATGTCATTGTCAGTATACAAACATTACAAACTTGCTTCAGTGATTATGGAACAACATAAAACAGTTAATAATAGTAAAAACATAAACTGTGATCAAATAAAGACATGCATAACCAAACAAGATGTTAAATAAAAACAGACTGAATGAAATAATTATGTCCTGTGGTTTTAAATAGATATTTTCCAGCGCTGTTGCACAATATTGTATCAGCGATCTTTCATGGTGACGCCAGAAGTTGTAAAAATATCTTCTGTTGTGTCCAAAACATTGCATTCACGTCTCTTCTCTGCTCTCCCTCTTGTGTGTGCGCAGGCCTCCGGTGCTGGCGGGAAGTCCAGCTTTCTCTGATATCTCCCTCATCCGGATCTCTCCCCAGCGGAACCCTTCGGTGGGGGCGGAGTCACCCTTTCACCCTCCGCACCCCTACATCAACCCCTACATGGACTACATCCGCTCGCTCCACAGCAGCCCCTCCGTCTCCGTGCTGTCCCGGGGCCTCAGTCCGGCAGATGGTGAATAAAACAAGCGCCCTCACGAGACACATCTGTACATCACCTCAACACAACTCTTAATAGCGTCCAAGCTTCCCCGGGCCCTTAAAAATAATGGCTGGAATTGATCAGGGCGCTTCGATTGCTTGATTTCGGTTTAATTCGGGATCAGTGGAGGTCAGAGCGGAGGTGAATGATCCATCTCTATTAAAAGGCCGGTGCGGGTCAGGAGAGCGGTGCAGGAGAGGTGAGGAGGGGGAAGGAGGGAGGAGAGGTGAGGAGGGGCTAATCCTTCTGATCTGTGAGTCGTGTCCGAGACCTCAGGAGGATGCTTGAGTGAGCGGCGGGGTCACGTACAGGGGCCCGGGCGCACAGAGAGCGGCCCATTCAAGTTCAGGGTTAGGGGCCTAAGAGGAGGGGGAGAGGAGGTGGTCCCAGGAGTTACAGGCAATTACTGGGGAAAGTAGAAAGTCAATATTTTAAGATGAGCAAAGGTGCCATGCTGTTGTCAAAAATACAGGGTTCTTTAGAGGATTGATCCTACCAGTTGTTTAAAAGTCCTTTTCAAAATCATTAGATCTGGTTAGTGAGGAAAACCATATGTGCCCATAAATTCACATTTTCAAGAAAAATATTGACCTTTAACCCTCTTTTTTATTTATTTATTTTTTTTTTATTCATAAAGGATTGGTCCCACAAACTTGCCCACATTAATCTTATGCCATGAAGGTCTTTCGAATGACCACAATTATGTTTGCATTATGGAATAATGAAATCACTTTTTATACTATACGTAGTTTGCAGCCATACTAACTTGTCAATGCCCACGCTCAGCAGATCTTTGAAGCTAAGCACTGTTGGTCCTGGTTAGTATTTGGAGGGAAACTGCTGAGCACACCAGGTGCCACAGTGGGGTACAGAACTTACTGTTGTTGTGTCCTTTAGCAATACACTTCACCTAGTTTGAATGTCGTGTATGTGTTTCTTTGTGTGTGTGTGTGTGTGTGTGTGTGTGAGAGAGTGAGTGGCCAAGTTCTTTTTTTTAAATTCCGAATTAAATTTTTCTGAATTAAGTAGTTTGGAATTAAAATATTCTCCGTGTTTACATGGAAATAATAATTCCGAATTGAGGTTTACTTGGAAAACACGTTAAATTGCCTTTATTTAATTCTGCTCAACGTCTGGCGGTCGGAAAGGTTTCTGACTGGACAAGGTGCGCACGAACGTATTTACGTCGACCAGAGGAAAACACACACTTTAGCTGCTACTGGCTTTTTTGTCATCTCGGTTTGTCCTTACACCACGGACACAAACGTGATACAAACTTTTTCCATAGTCATTCCCATGATGATTAAGCAGCAGCTCAAGAGTTCTATCATCACGCTTTATGTCTGTCAGCTGAGGAGAAGTAAAGAGTGTTGGCGAAGGGAGGAAGAAGACAAACTGAGTCAACGGCTGCTCTACCTCGACCCACTCCCGTATCCCACTCACAAATCCAAAGAGACGTGGATGAAAGTCTGAAGTAAGGACTAGCATCAGAAGGGCGACCCAACAAGAATGCACTGAACAACCGGAATTATTTTTAAGAAGAATAAGGGTTTACATGATTGAGGAATAAATTAATTCAGGTTTAAAATCAGAATAATCCACCCACCTTACTTCGGAATTAAGTTTAATTCAATCATTTTTATTAGGAATTACGTGTTTACATGGTCTTTTTAAAGCAGAGTTTTTATTAAGAATTAAATTATTTTTATTCAGAATTAAAGCTCTCATGTAAACATGGCAAATGACCGGTAGTGATCGGAAGAGCTAATAGCACCGATAGACCTTGTTTAAGTCAGTCTTTAATACTGCTAATATTGTCTAATATTGAGTGAATGAATAATGCAATATAAAGCAAAAGCAAAAAAAAAAAAAATGTCTATAAATCTAAAGCATCTTAGTTCCTTTGAACAGTCATAGTTGCTAAACTTGCTAAACTGCAAAAACAGTAATTCATAAAATAGCAACAGTTTAAAGGCAACTCTGCTTTTTTTCTAATGACTAGTAGTGTGTAGAAGTTCCCCCTCTGGTCCTCAGCTCTACAGCTCCTGATGAGCCCTCTCTCTCACTCACACTTCTGACTCACAGACACTTGAGTAGCAGCACTTTAAACTCTTATGCCACAGTGGGCTTCTGAAAAGAGCAGATAGCACAGGCCACTCTGTCTTACACTCACCAGCTCTTACACACCCTACACAACAAGAACCATCAGCCGTCATTTACTGTGTACTACTTATTTCAAAATGTAAACAAATACTACATCTCTGACAAAATATATTTCATTACAATTATTTGATCATTTACTTTAATTTGGTCAGTTAGCCAAATTTTTCTTTACTTACAGTGTTATTGCTATGTATGTTTGTGGAAGTTGCTGTCAGTGATTTCAACATATAAATCTTTATTGAATTGGGGTTTCTGACACAGAATTGTATGTGCTGGGGTCAAGTTTGAACTGGCTACCTCTTGGTGAAAATATTAAACTGCGACATAATTTATATTAACAGTCGTTGTTTAGTTAGAATTCATAGCAAAGGAGAAAGTAAATTTGTCAACTGGACAAGGGTTTATTTAGATTGAAAACCTTTCACAGCTCATCCAAGCAGCTTCTTCAGTTCTGGTCAGAATGCTGGAGGACAATAAACTAACAGAACTAACAGAAACTCTAAACAAGTAAGGTGATAGCTTCAGAGTAGTGTCAGTGTAGTTAGCTCCTCCCTTCAGGCAGATATATATATATAGGCAGTGTCCACCAGCATCTGACCAGAATTGAAAAAGCTGCTTGGATGAGCTGCGAAACATTTTCGAACTAAATAAACATTTGTCCAGTTGACAAATTGAATTTCTCCTTCGTTCTGTTATGTACTTGATTTAGATCTGTTGGTATGTGGAAAGCCCAGTTTTTATTTATTTTTTGCTACTTGGTGAAAAGTTAAAAGATTGTGAGCCACTGAATTACAGTGTAGTTATTATAAAGTGGTATACCTATTTCTTGGTTGGAGGGCGGACACTGTTACCCATACTTCAGAGTTAAAATATCCCTTAATAAGTTAATTAAGCTATTACTCATTATTAATAAAAAATACTAATAGTTATGTTTTTAATATCACCTTAAATATTGCACAGCATTTTTACAGTTTTCAAATTGGGTTTAAATACAGTACGTCCAATCTAATAAACCCTTTTCCTTCCATTCCCATTACGACAATATAACCTACCACATAAACCCCCTTTGAGTCTCCGCAGCTTTGCATTGTGAATGAGCCACCTAATTACTCCTTTAATCAAGCCAGTGATGAATTAACCCATCAGCTTTTGTGCTGTTAGTCTATCACCCTGCTTAAGAGCGCGCCTCCAATACGCAGCCGCCATTTTTCCTCCTGCTAAAAGTGCATTTGAATAATGACGAATTAATTAACAGAATCTAATGGAGATTTAGAGTGGGTGGGATTAAGTGACACCCCGTTTTTTTCCCTACCACCAAGTTATGGGGCGCCCCTGTTTCCATTGTATCCCGGGGCAACAACGCCAAAAAACCACCCCGCGTTTTTACCCCCATATTTGCCCCAAGGATGCTATCTCGACGCCAGCGGTTTGATTTAGAAATTCTCCAAATCTCCCTCCTCTGTATGAACCACAGTGTGAATGAATGCCGAGCTAAGGCGGAACACAATTAAGCTACTTCCCCCTTCCACTCCCAGCATAATACCCACATCGAATTAATTTAGTCCTCTATACATACATCTAAGCAATCGTGAATGCACAAAACAGGAATACAGGCTAGGTTTAAATCGGAATCTCTCTCTATATTTTCCCTTACACACAGCGTTCCGAAGGGTCTGAACAGATTCCATATTTGCATCCCAAACCACACTGTTAGCTTGCCTTTCTTAGCGTATTTGCATAAGGGAGCCCACCAGCCGCCAGATATGTATTTTTAGGCAGCGGTTCAAGGACTTACTTAAACTACTTGGAACGGGGAGAAGGGAGAAAGATGTATCAGATGCGCGCAGATCTGTGGGGTAGATTTAGACCCTTTGTTTGGTTTTCAATAGAGTTTAAAGGAGCACATTGGAGGAGCAGGTTTCGATACAGTATCTCGGAATTGCAGCCACTGTTATGCAGCGTCGCTGGCAAAACGCGTGGATCAGCCCACAACGTCTTACCACACGCACTCACGCTAGGTTCGGAGCAGAAGAAAGAAAGATTCGGGTGGAGGGATGATCGGCGATGCCAAGATGGAAATGGAGAACGCAAAGGAGAATGACTACAAATCAGACATAGAAATTGTAACTAGGTTGTCAGTAATTTTGGGAAAATTTCTCAGAGTACAACGTTTAGTTCTAATTTGTTGTGTTTGCAAAGCGATTGTTATCTTGCAAAATGGGAGATGCATGGTTCCATACCCAAACCAAAATATTACATTGATTCGCATGGTTGCCATATCGATTTATAATTCAAACCACTTTTGGATGGTTAAAAGTCCTTTCATTGTTGCCTCTACTAAACAGGAAGCTGACACTCATGATTAAATACAGACAGGAAGCATGGGCATAGCGGTAAAAGCATTAGCTCACCAACCCAAAGGTCACGGTTTCAATCCAAGTGACTTAATTATGTCCTTTGGCGAGACACTTGACTGTGACTGAAGAACTGGTGGTGAGGTAGATGGGGCAGATTGACAGCCTTGCTTCTGTCAGTCTATCCCACAGGACCGCTGTAAAATTAATACTAAGGCCACATTCAGACTGCAGCCTGAAGTGACCCAAATTTGATTTTTTTCACTTCTATTCGACCTGTATCTGATCTTTTAATGACAGTCTTAAGAAAACAGATGCGATTTTTTCAAATGCGACCCAGGCCACTTGGATATGTGCTCCTAAAACCGATACATATCCAATCTTTTTGACATGCGACTTCAGTCTGAACGGCCAAGGCGCATTCATCCTACCTGACTGCAACTCCACACCCACACGTTTCTACGGACGTTGCTGCCACTGCCCCACAAAACGCCATGGCCAAAAACCTCGCACTTCTCCTTCTCAATCTCCTCCTTAAAACAAATAAGCTGTACATCTTCTGGCTCTGGTACGACAGCAACTTTAAATTCTCCAGGTGCTCAGTGCTGCATCCATGTTTAGGCTACTTCGGTAAACACTGAGCACACTCGCTGCATGTGATGTGTTCTCCAATGCACATGCAGGACACTTTTGGGGCATTTAAAGTTCACACTGGGCATCACATACAAGTCGCATTTAACTGGAAATGTGAATGACCCCGCAAAAAAATTGGATTTCACAAAAAAATCTGGATTGAGCATTAAGCCCTGCCTAATACATTGGATTTATATAGTCCTTTTTAAGACACCCAAAGTGCTTTACAGTGCACTATTCATTCACTCCTAACTTCTACTACAACTATAGTCACAGCTTCCCTGGGCAAGACTTACACAATGAGGATGGACAACACACTCACACTCAAATCAAATCAAGTTGGGTAAAGTGTCTTGCCAACAATGCAGTCTAGATCTGGATCTGTACAACTTTAACCTGTACTTGCATCTTTAAAGGGCCACTAAACACCAAAATCACTTTTTTCTACTAATTAGCTGTGTAAATAGGTCTACAATAGAAATGTATACCTATCCCTGGTCTTATTCTGGCATTTTAGTGCATATCTGTTAAAAATCTGTAACGATCTTTACGATCAACTATGGCCAGTATATTTGAATTTTCTGGGTTGGACTAATGGCCACCAGTGAATCAGATGCAGGCTTTTACATGACCAGCACAACCACTTGAGTCTACGCGCAGTACGTGTGGGGCACTTCTCAGCCCCACCCCTACCTGTCACCGCTGGTCACCGCGATGTCCCGCCGTGTCTGGAGAAAAGGGAAACGGCATGATCCGAGCACAGATGTCCACTCTGTTTTAAAGTCCGGAGCGCACCGGTCCACGCCGTGTTGGATTGTTGTGTCGGTCGGGTGTCAATCATTGCTCCAGAGACCGCCCCACACCTGCTCCCCACAACCCACCGAGCACCGCCCACTCTGGAGGATTTTTTCAGATTTTGATTAGGGGTGGAGTAAAGCTTTGGGAGGCTGTTTAATGGTTCTTTAACTTTTCCTGTTACAGTACACACGAGTTGCATCAGGAAGGGCATCTGGTGCAAAAATCCACCAAATCACCAGCATCTTTTTTACTACAACATGCCCTAACCACACTGTGATTAAAATAGTAAAGTTGAATTACCCTCCACATTGGGGCATTACGAGTGTGTAAGAATGTTGTTTATCTCCTCGCTCTGTAAATGAACACATCAGTCACAGCTAGGTAGCGCGGCACGGGCTGGTCCCTCGGCGTTCGCGCTTCAGGTGGGGCTCCGGGTGCAGCTGCTGTGCTTAAGTGGCTGCTGGTGCTAATACGCTCGTTACCGTGGCGCCGGGCTGATGATCATCTCATGTAAATGAATGTGCGCCGTAACACAGCGCAGGTGCCTGTCATGTTTAGCAAGTCTTCTAATCAGTTTAACTACAGCCCGGTGTATCCGCTCATCTGTCACTGCCGGACCACTGACCCCTCTCTCTCTTTCTCTACTCCTGTTTTCTCTCTCTACACCTCTCCTCCTTTGCTTTCTTTTCTCCCTCTCTATCGTTTCACCACTCTCTTCTACTACATCCTCTTCTTCTCCTTGTCTTGTTTTCTCTTGGGCCTTCTCTCTCCTCTTTCTTCCTCTCTCCCATTTCCTTTTCTCTCTCTCTTCTTTCTTTTCATCTCCTCTTGCTCTCCCCGTCTCTTCTCTTTCTTCCTATTGCCCCTCTCTCTCCTTCTCTTACCTCCTCTCCTCCTCTCTCTCCTTCTCTTACCTCCTCTCTCCTCTCCTCCTCTCTCTCCTTCTCTTACCTCCTCTCTCTCTCCTCCTCTCTCTCCTTCTCTTACCTCCTCTCTCCTCTCCTCCTCTCTCTCCTTCTCTTACCTCCTCTCTTCTCTCCTCCTCTCTGTCCTTCTTTTACTTCCTATATTTTCTCCCCCTCTGTCTCCTATTTTTTCCTCTGTTTGTTTCCTCTCTTACTTCTCTGTCCTCTCTCCTCCATGCTCTCTTTCCTCCTCACTTCCTTTATCACCCCCTTTCCTCTTTCTCTACTGTTTGCTCTCCCCTTCTCTCCCCTTTCTCCTTGTTGCTCTCTTTTCTCTTTCCTCTCTTCCTTTTCTCCCATCTCTTATCCTCTGTTTCACTTTCTCCTCTTCTCCCCATCTCCCCATCTCTCCTTCTCTCTTTTCTCTCCGCTTTCACCCCTCCTTCCTCTTCTCTCCCTTGTCTCTGTGATCATCTGTCCTTCTCTCTTTCTCATGTGTCTGTTGTCTTTTTGACTTAATATTTATGGTGTTGTCTAATTGAATGTTTAATGTTTTTACCTGCCTTAGGACAATAGATAAAAAGTCTCTATTGTACTAACTGCATTTTTATGTTGAAGCTGCTTGCTGACACATGTATTAGTATGCACTGTTCTAATTCAAATAAACACAGAAATGAAATGAAATGCCCCCTCTTCCCTCCTCCCTCTCCTCCTCAGCCCCTCACACAGGCCTCACCACGGCGGAGTACTACCACCAGATGGCCTTGCTGGCTGGACACAGGAGCCCGTACGCGGCCGACCTCCTGCCCTCCGTGGCCTCCACAGCCGGGGCCGCAGGAGCCAGCGCCCTACACATGGAGTACCTGCAGGCCATGGACAGTGAGTACACACACTTATACTGTAAATATGTAAGGTGTTGCCTATAACTTCAGTAGCTACAGTTGTAGTTAGTTTAATTTTAACTACCTCTCACCACTGGTTGGAGTCCATGGTCTCTCTACTGGGGTTTGTGTACATAAATACCGTGTGCTTATATCAGATTACACATGTCATCAAACTGGTGGTCAATAGTTAATTACCTCCGCCAAGGAGGTTATGTTTTCGCCGGCGTTTGTCTGTTTGTTTGTCTGTTTGTTTGTTTGTCTGTTAGCAACATAACTCAAAAAATTATGGACCGATTTTGATGAAATTTTCAGGATTTGTTGGAAATGTGAAAAGGAATAACTGATTTCATTTTGGGGGTGATCCGGAAGAAATCCTGGATTCTGGATCACTTTGAAATTTTAGTTAACATTGTGGTAAATGGGGCCAAAAATTTAGTTTCTCAATATCTCGGTTAATTATTGACCAAACCCCATGAAATTTGACTCAGGGATGGACAATGGGATCCTCTTTCATATTCCAAAGGCTGATCCGGATCTGATCCAGAAGACTGATTTTATCGCAATTTATATAAAAAATGGGGTAGTCCTTGGCGGAGGTCTGCGCTCTCTGAGTGCTTTTCTAGTTCTAAATGAAATTGAGCTGAAAATTTTAAAGGTATCCCAGTCTCACTATAAGATATCGTCATGTATGAAGCTCACGGTACAATATTTATTGCGATATTGTGGGAAAGCTCACAATATGGTGGGGAGACTCACGATTAGGGATGTAACAGTATCCAAATCTCTCTGTACAATATTTTCACAATATTCATCTCATGGTATGATATTTATTGCAATATTTTGTGAAGGCTAAACAGTTAAAACTGTTAATATTCTACTTTTTCCTCTTAAAATGCCTTGACAAGACTTAATCCAAAGAACTAAGACTTAGAAGAGCTTTGAACTGTTATTTCTTCTTTATTGTGATGGTCCACGATATTATTGCAGTTATTGTTACATCCCTACTGTGTGCAATATAGGGGTGTCTAATTGTGATTAAAATTAACAAATAATGTGTTATATGTACATAGATTTAGTTTTTTTTTTCTTTTAGGCATGTAATAATAACCGAAATATTGTGATATTGTATTGTTAAAAGTCTTAAAATAGTATCAGGACTATCACAATATATCGAATTACAAGTTATAGAGCAGCAATATAGGTACAAAAACAAAGGGAACTTCATAGACCATGATCCTTTGCTCCTTTTCAGTGCCAATTACATAATTAATTGTTACAAGCACTTTTCAATCTTAATTTTTGGATTATGACAGATAGAATGTCTTGCATTTTAAAAGGAAAAAGTAACATTCACGATTTTGTTTGTTTGTCTCCACAATAAATATTGAACCGTGAGGTGTATATTGTGAAAATATTGTACCGAGAGATTTGGATATTGTTACATTCCTATTTTATACTTCATTTTATTATTTGGCTTCTACTTTTTGCAGTCTGTTATTTTTTCTTCTGTGGGCCTACTTTTATGTTGTAATAAATATATAAAAAATAGTCACTTTCTCTTTAAGCGCACTGGGGCTGTAGTTAACAAAAAAAATCTTTGTCTGCTAAAGATATGCCCTGTGCACTGTCTAGCCGCGGGTTCTCAAGAGCCATAAAAAGCATAAAATTTGATAGCGCCAAATTTTAGGCCTTAACATTAAATTCTACAGAAAAGTTTTAAATTTCAGATATAATGGTCTTAGTTTTAACTGCTTCTTGAACAACATCTCTCAAAATTATTAGGATCTCATGCAACTATGTATTCTGAGAAGTACTCGTGAACAGCATTGTCGTAAGTGAAAAAGCAGATTAAACTGTAAAATCATCCCCAGAACTCTAGTCTACCTCGTTTTAAACTTTCTCCATGATGATGTGGTCTGGATAAATCCTTAAACTCAAAATAAAATAATTACTTGACTAAAAAAACGTGGTTGACTTGGAGGGAGTTGCTGACTAGGCCCTAAACGTTTGCATTGGCTGAAAGTTGGTTATCCCCGTGAAGTTTCAAAAGCCCCACACAAGTGAAAAACCTTGCACTTTCTCTTGTAAATGGACCTCCACCGCTGCATTGTCTATTGTGTTTTCCCCCTATTATAAATGAACAGCGGTACATTATAGCATGGGTGGGCCCGGAGGGAATACCACCTCTGAAACGCTTTTACAACACCTATCTTTGGCTATATTTAGAGCGAGTTCATCTTTAACCAAAGCGGCTCCGTTCTGACATGATTTAAACGAGCTATTGTCTTAATGCGTTGGGCGTCGGAGTGTAAGCACCGGACTTATGCTAATGAGTTATTTTAAAGTGTAAATAGGAAATTAAAGGCCCAGTGAATCTCGGAGAGGTCGAACAGCCTAACCCCGTTGCGTTTGATGAGAATGTACTTAGTCAGGCAGACGCCGCTTTCATCCGAGGTAACGTTCCGGCTTTTTCCCGACGAACAAACTAATTAAAACTAGCCAAACTTGAGCGGCTATCAGAAAATTAATTGCTATTAAGTGGGGATAGGATTGTACCACCATTCATCATTGGAGCGTTCCGTCACTTTTTTTTTAAGATAAATGGACTGAAAGAAAACAATTAGGGACAAAATTTAAGTGAAGTTGCGATGCTGTCTTCACAAAAAAAAAAAAATCTGTGATCATTGTTGGTAATAAGTCATCATGTTACGACTTTGTGTTTTTCCGCGCTTGGAAAATTAGCACTTGAAAGCTGTGTAGAGCAGGTCTATCAAGAGTCAGTGGTAATCTTAGCTCGAGCGGCTATTCGAGTCTGTTTCATATCGCGGTAATTAGCTTCGTCGAGCGCTTTGCTAATGAAACAATGGGCCTATCCTGCCTATTTGTGCTTAAAGAGGCTATTGTGTGCCGTCTTGCTGCCTAATTACAGCCACGGCAGCATAGATCTCAACACTATGAAAGCACTTTATTAGTCCATTTTCACTCTGCTGCTACTTCTCTGCTACGTGGAGGTGATTGGTAAGCTTCAGTCCAAGTCTTGTACAATGAAGATCAAACCATGCAGGCCTTTTGCTAGAACTAGGGTCTTATGAAAAAAAAGATAAATTGCATTGTGATTAGAATTACAGTTGATGATTTTCAGAACGTGTTTGTTGAAGTAACTAGGTACAATGAGATTTTTTTGATTCCGTTATGTAAATATTTATCACTTTTGCGATTTGATAATTGAGCAAACTCAAATTTGAATGGCCTGTATAGAACTTGTATTGTATAGAGGCCTGTATAGAAGTTGAGATTAATAGGGAACATAAATGAGATGCATTCAGGTTCAAGAATTTGCTGATTGCATTTGATGAGAACATGTTTAGTCAAGCAGACGCTGCTTTCATCCAAGGTAACGTTACCCCTTTTTTATTAAGGAACAAACCAATAACAGTTTTTATAATGTTGCCAACTCAAATAGCAGTTTCTATTGCAGTATTTTGTACAGGCCTGGATAGAACTGACTTATGATTAATAGAGCAAATAAATGTGATGCCTTCAGTTTCAAGAATTTGCTGATTTAAACGTTGGTCATGCCACTAGAATTAGTGAGGCTGCAAGTTTTATGGACACTTTAACAGTAAAAGCTATAAACCGCATTACTCTTTTTATAAATTAGTTCCAGATTTCTTAAATCCCTATTATGAAGACCACGTAATTAATTAAATACCACTGTTCTTGACAATATTGTGACAAAAAAGGATTTATCATTTGGTCGTAAAAGTCCAAAAAACAGGTCAAAATAACTGAATTTCAAAGCTTTTGCAACAGAAATAGTCATACTGCATCATTCAGTCTCCATTTTTATAACATTAGATAAACTCTTCTTCATGGTCTTTATTTTCATAGAAAATTCCAAACATTTGATCAACTTCCACATGCTAAACACGTGTAGCCTACAAAAGTGCCCTCCATTGTCGCGTCCTGTAGCATTAAACAGTATTGCGTGACAGCCTTACACACACTCGCCTCCCCTGTGATTGCGTCCCTCTCCGGTGGCCCTCAGGTGAGCCGGCGACGCTACAGCCCCAGTTTTAGCGCTCCTTTTCAGTCGGGCCGCGCCTCAACCCTCCCTGGCCACGAGAATTAATGACGCGGCGTGTAAGCATCCGTCCCATCCATAAATCAAGAGGAAATTAGAGGGACGTGAGCCCGCTGCCTCCAAGCCTCTGCCCCGCTCTCCCTGGTTGGCCGATTTATCATTTGGGCCGTGCATTAATAAACACCACTCCCGCGAGGACAGGCGAGGCTGGGACGGTCCTCCGCTCAGCCTCCTCTCCTAATTCACCAAAGTGGAAGTTGTCCCTCACAATCAGGTGATCCAGTACGTGTGAAAGAGAGAGGTGTAGTGATGTCACGATACTGAAATCTCTACATCGATTTCGATGCTAAGGAACAGGCTCAATGCTCAATAATCTTTCTTTAGACAATAGACTGTAATTTTCAACATTAAGTTGTAGTACTTTCTTTTGTATTACCATGTGGTCTTATCATTTGTGTAATACCTAAGTGGTTCAGGTAGGTTCCATAGTGGTCCATGGGCGTATTCTAATCTATGTGCTCTTATACTTGTTCTAATGCAGCTCAAGATCATTTTAAAGCTATTCAGGAAAGGTTCCTTTCTGTCCTGTGAATGTGACTTTTTTAGTATCGATACCTGCACAAATTAGTATCTAGTTTCGATACTAGCCTTAATATCGATTTGTATTGGATTTTCAATAATTTTGACAACCCTAGACTGGGTAAATTTGGGTGGACTGAATAATGAAAAATCACATTTGGATGGTGGGAGTTAGTAACATGTGAAACTAGTTGTGTTTACGTAATAAAATTCACTAAAAAGGACAAAATATTTTCTCCCAGGGCTGTATTTTAGACCTCAACAAACATGTTCTGAAAGCATGAGATTCTTGTTTGGGGTCAACAGTTTATATTTTAGTGTTCTCTCATGTAATACTCAAATAATCCCAGTAAAACTCAAATAATTGTAGCCTTATCTTCACAATATATTTTGCAAATGTAATCACAATATTTGTTTTATACTCATTCAGCCATTTGGTAAGATTCTGTTTCATTGTTCACATAGTATTTTGTAGAATTATTATTGTTTTATTACTACAAATTGCATTTGAAAATACTTTCATAAACACAGCATTGCTGAAATACAGTTCTGCAGTAATACTGAATTTTGGTTTAGCTTTTATTTGTGACCTCAACTTTAATTTTTGCTTATTAGTTACTTAAACAATTAGATTTATTTCTCATTCCAATTAAAACGTTCATCAACAAAACGCATTTTTCTCAAATGGCTTCAGTGAAATTGTAGGTAAGACATTTGATCCATCATTAAAAATTATGTGTTTATAATGTTGTATGTGACAGTTGTCCTGTGGGATTTAAACAGCAGATTCTCCAAACGCTGACAATGAAACCACTGCGCTACCTTCTATCCCAGCCATAGCTAACACTGCGGCCTGCTCTTACCAGAACGCTCCTCTTTTTCTCCTCTCCCTCCCTCCCTCGCTCACACACTCATCCACGAGCGCTGATTACCATGTGAATGCAGCGCTCTGTAATCGTTGGATGTGTCAAGCGCGAGATGGAGCATTGAGATGGATGGATTGTGGGGGACGAAAATACGGAGGAGGGGAGGAGGAAAGAGGGAGGGAGTGTTACCAGGCCCGTGTAAGCTGGTTTTGTTACCCTTTCATGAAATAACTCCAAATGTTTTATTATTTTCGAGTCTTGAGTCACGATGTCAGTTCAGGCATAAAGCGCGACATCCCCTTTTAGTACTTCCCTCTTTTCGCTCCGTTCTTTCGCTCTGTTCTTCGCTGTCTTGTTTGTGACATCTCCATGTGAAAAGACAACAAAAGTCACGTTTTAATCTCCACCCGTGGCTCTTTGTACGCCGTTTACGCCTTGTACCTTTTCAACAAACCCCTTCAGTATTTCCAGTCAACACTGATTGCATTTGAATGAGAAGTCGAATTGGACTGGATGAAATATTACCATACAGAGTCGAAGCATTTCTCCAACATAAAAGACATGTTTGCTGTGGGATGGAACGCAAACAGAGCATCAAGTGACAGGCGAGCACGCATTCAGACGAGCGCTTTGTCTGCAGAGTGACAAAAGTGTCATCTGGGAGGGTTATGGCGGGTTAAAGGAGGGACGACAAGCTAAATTTACTTTTAGAAGCTTTTAACCTCATCATAAAGTACATATTTCTAATTCTTACAACATTAAGATGGATAGTGATAGTGATATTGTCCTCCTGTGCTGTACAGAGGACACTCACTGCTCAGTCCTTGTTCTCTTGGTCTGTGTCATCAGAGATATAATACTTCCTACAACAGCAGCATAGCCAGACTGGACTTCACTTGACTTGAATGGACAACACTATCACAGTGTCTGTATTGACGGTAAATAAACTTCTCCTGCGTTAGAACTCCAACATCTTCCCTCTTCTACTCAACTCTCGGGCTACTTCAGTTTATTCTTCAGATAGTCCCTGTGGTCAATATTTAACTTAATTTAATCAGGCAAGTGGCAGTTTGTGAATAAAAGTTTTACAAAATTGCAGGAAGTAGCGCAGACTTCTAAATTGGATTTCCTCTACAGTTTGAGCGCACAAGGAACACATTTTTCTCACCATTTAAACATTTATTTAAATTGTTCATCTGCTGCCCATGTCTAAGCAGGAAGTATAAACTTGGTCAAACTACAGAAAACTAGGCAAGAGGAGTTTTTGCAAAATCGTAAATATAATTAAGTTAACTACATGTTTTTGAAGTTAGTAGTCAAACCTGTCATATGCACTTTAAGTTACAGTTGTTGAGGCTGCCTACGAGATGGTTTCAACTTCACATAAGAAATGGAAAGTCCATGTACCATCATTCAACTACAAAGCAGGAGCAGAGCACTCTCACAGATAAAGACATATTCCATTACAATACATTTTGAGAAAAGTAAAAAGACACTCTGATCCAATACTTTTGCCAATTTCTGGATGAGGCAGATTTCCAACCTGAAATTTCCTTCACCAAAAAGGATGTATCTGTTAACATCATACTGACGATAACTTTCCTTCAAATTTGGTCTTCCAAAATGTTTCACTCCATATTGCCAAAAGGAAAATGATGGAGGAAGTCTAAGTATCCCTCATTTATCCAAGAGTTTTCCATATCAACAACAATCTCAAACTTTATCTTTTGAACTAGTTTGAAGTTAAAGATGTTTTTGTACTTGTTCCATACATATACTTTGTTCATATTTGTTAAAAATATATATTTATATATAAGCCACAGTTATGGTTCTCAAAAATACTAAAACTAGTGGTGAAACTCAAGTAATAGAATAGAATAGAACTGTGCGATCTATATCAGAACTAGCTCAAGACCACTCTGCAATTAGACAAATTTAACTACATAAAAATCACTTGAATTACAAATATTTATCCTCATTCAAGTAAATTTCATTTGACAAATAAAACTATCTAAATGGAACAAGACTCTGCACTTAAAGAAAGTGCAAATCTGATGCTTTATCAAGCCTTTTCTTTCCTTTTCCTCATGCACTTTTCCAGAGCAAATCAGGCCTGCATTTTAAGCTGACATTGTTATTCACTCAGTATCGAGTTTTTTCCTTAGAATCAAAACTGAGTTTGAAATTTTAACATAAATATCTGATAGCTCCAGTCACAATAGAGCTAACATTCACCCCTTTTTGATGAGCATACTCGACATCTGCCTTATCCAAAAGCCATATTTCATGCACTTTTCCAGAGCAAATCAGGCCTGCATTTTAAGACCACTTTGTCATTCTAACTTCTCCTCTCCACCCTCTCTTCTCCCTCTCGTCCTCAGGCTCACGGTTCCCCAGTCCTCGGCTCCCATCACGGCCCAGCAGGAAGCGGCCCCTGCCCATCTCACCCCTGTCTGAGCACAGCTTTGACCTCCAGACCATGATCCGCAACTCACCCAACTCCCTGGTCACCATGCTCAACCACTCACGCTCCAGCTCGTCCACCAGCGGCTCCTACGGACACCTCTCTGCAGGCGCCATCAGGTACAGTTCCAAAGTACAAAGTAGTTTGTTTTGCATTCATAGCACAGTATATGGAACTGTATTATCATTTTTTGCTTGCCCATATAACATGTTTATACCCAGTAAAGCAAAAGTTAGATCAGTTAAATCACACTCTAGTAAGTAACCATAGCTTAAAATGATTAACAATATAACACAAAACATTTTAATCTATGTGTTAGCTATGGAACTCCAGCCTCGATTATTGTGGCTACTGGTCTACCCTTGCACTTAGTAGTGCCAGTTGATGTTATTAAATCACTCATTTACGCCTGTCAATTGGATGCTCATATTGATTAGAGTTAGACTCACAAGCTTAGGTTCCAATAATCAGTCAAAGTGATATTTTCCCCACGGCAATATGATGTAATTGATTTTCTATATATCTCTAATGTAAATGACAGATATATTTTTAACCCCCACTTTTTCATTACTTTAATAAATAATAGTGCCTTACACTTGTAATGCACTTCACAGACTTGTGAAAGACTTTTAAAGTGCTACACTAAAGTCTGTATTCATTCAAGCCACTTCTCTAGCCAAAGCTGCCCTGGGGTAGACTGACAGAAGAGAGGCTGACAATCTGCACCATCAACCCACCAATCTCTCATGTACACACCACATACTAGGGAAGATGGGTCTTGTGTTCGGACACAACAGTTGAACTTGGTTTGAGTGGTAATCGATCCTCTGGCTGCTGTTGACCCAAATAACACTGGTAAATAATCAAAGCCTGGTACATAAAGCAAGAAGAAAAAAAAAAAGATGTAGTAATAATTTTCATGTGCTGTGCGCGTGGTCAGGGAAATGCATGACATTTACATTGTGCTGGTCTGTGATGTGATTTATAGAGGAAGGTGAGAAAGAGTACCATCTTAAAACAAAAGGCCCGGTCAGAATGAAAAATACTGTAGGCTGTATCAAACTTTTGACAATAGAAAACTTTTACAATAGAGCTGGACTCCAAATGTAGTGAGGTTCTCAAGTTTTTGCAAACTATGTGACGCTACATTCTTTGGTACACCTTAAAATATCTCACTCTCAGCTTTTGGGTTTATAAAGACTATTTTCAATGTTCTAATTTTGCATATGAAAAAACAATCTTGTAGACCCAATAATGACCACTTCCCAGGTACACATTGCAGTGTAAGATGTGCTTCAGTGTTGCCTCAGAAAGTTCACTACTGATGCTGTAGTCTCTGTGTGGGTGAGCCTCTCCCATGCAGCCCGCAGTCCGTTCCTCCCCGGCGGCTCGTGTCACTCATCCCCCGCGCCTCCACAGAAACATCCGATACATCACCGCGGCAACAGCACCGTGCCGACCCAGCGCAGAGAGGCAGAGATCCATGGCCCCACCCACACTCATTGATCAGCGATCTGTAAGAAGAGCCCGATCAATCACGTCTCCGCGCTTGCCACTGTCCCCGCTGTCAGGCCCAAATAGCCACAACCAACAGACTGATGAGTGATATGACAAGCAGACGGGCCCCCAAATGTGTCTCGCTCCATTGATTTCCACTGGCCTCATAATAAGATCAGCAGACGTATGGGCCGCAGCGGTGGAAGCGTCGGCGTGGTGGATGAATGAAAGGCTGTGGGCTCCAGACTAGTGTTTATCTTGTGGTTCACCAGCGGTTAGTCGGACCCCGGCACAGCAGAGGGGCGCCCGGGACCACAAGTCTGATGGCCTACCTTTGACAAACAGAAATGTGTTTGCCATGCCGTTTTGCATTTAGCGCCTTAATTAAGGTGGTAAATGGTAAACGGTGGCACAGTGGGTTAAGTGTTCACTCACCAACCCAAGGATCATCGGTTCAAACCTTAACTGTGAGTGTGCAGTTGTTTTGACTGTGGGAACGCCCTCTCAAGTTACAATATATGTGTGTGTAGGTCAGGAATATGGTATAAAAACAGTCAGATTAGTATCAGATTGGTTCCAGAGATGATTTTAACTGAATAAATGAATAGGCCTCATTGTTTTTAACAATGAAACCTAATATTAAAAAAAAAAATACTGGGAAACTTGACAAAACAAATACTGTATATGTACGCAATGGGGCTGTACTCAGAGGAGCAATATATCAGACAGTCCTTTTGGCAATATGCATACTGATAGGGATGTGCATCACATTGTTTATTCTTCATAAATTCTGAGTTACTACATCCCAAGTACTGCATTCATTCTTAAGCTGCTGAGATGTATTGTTAAACTAATTGTGTTCTGGTATTGAGGGCATTGTGGATATGAAATTAGAATTAATTTCGACATTATAAAAATATACATTTTGTAAACTTTAAGGTATATACCTGTCTTGATTTAATTAAAACCCTAACCCCAACTCTTAAGGGTACTTAATTAACTCCTTAATTAGCAGCGTTGGAAAGGTTACTAAACGTATTCCCCTACAGATTACAGATTACATATCCCAAAATGTAGTTTGTAACATAATCCGTTAATTTACTTAAAGTGAGTAACGTAATCTGAATACTTTGGATTACTTGATATTGTCATGCTTTTTAAAACTACATGACTTTACCAACCACATCCTGTAAATTCTTGTTTGTTCTGTTCAAATTGGCTGTTGAGCTCAAGTCTCTAGGAATAGGTTTGCTGTAGAGAAGCAAAGACTAGGATCTTAACATAAAATGTTTTGTCTGTTAAAAGACAATAAAAAGCCCAGTCTTTCCTTAACCGTATTAAACATATTATTGATAGAGAAATTATTTTTATATAAGATCATTGCTGTCTTAAATTATGTCCACCCTACTGTTAGGTATCATATTGTTTAGACCTGGTTTAGCCCTGGTTTAGTCCTGGTTTTACTCCTAGTTTAGTCCTAGTTTAGACCTGGTTTAGTCCTGGTTTTAGTCCTGATTTTGTCCTGGTTTTAGTCTTGGTTTAGCCCAAAATGTGAAAACAGGAAAATACCACCCTGTAATCCATTTATTTCAACAAAGTAACTGTAATCCAATTACCATTCATTGAAGCAGTAACTGTAACTGAATACAGTCACTCATAATTTTTACTCTGATTACGTAATGCTGATAAATGTAATCCGTTACTCCCCAACACTGTTAATTAGGTAGTTTCTAAGATTGAATCATTCTTATTTAGCTAATAGTTCATTACAAATGAAGTCTTTCTTCATGCTTTAATACGGCTAATTAAGGAGTAGTTGAACTGAATTTGTACTATTTTACACAATATTTTATATTTATCAGAAGTAATGTAAGATTTCAAGACCTACTCAGTCCAAGTTCATTCACAAAATGCATTCACTGTTTTAGTTTTAACAGTTCCTAATTTCAAAAGCGCACTCATTCAAATCACACTCTCTCTTTCAGTAGCCATCCTCTACTTATTGCCGCAACCATCCCCTAACACCACACCGGACCAACTACTGCAAACATCCTCACTGTCCCAAAAAATCAACACTTAGCGCAAATAAAACCCGCGGAAAAGCCTTATTTACAAAGCTGCATGTTCCAGCGCGGATAATTTATCACCTGTATCATTTGCCCAGTAGAAGAATGACACAGCTTACACACGACCACATGATAATTCACAGTGTGTTAACAAGCCCAACATTCATCGGCAGGGCTTTAGCCGGCAGCCGCGACGTTCCAGTATTACCACACCAGCTCCTGTCAGATCGTCCTCAGGGATAAGAGCCATCCAGAACAATCCATTTATCCACCGTCTCTTTCCCCAGTTTTTTGCCTCGTCGCGCTCGCACAGATTTACGGAACGGTGAAGTTGTACAGTATTTGGGTAATATGATTTACAGTGGCGGTAAATGTACATGCGCTGGCAGTATGTAAATAATATGGAGTGGAATTCATGAGCTGAAAAAATGCTAGCTAAACAGGAGAGGCGGCGCATGCAGACAAGAGGATGTATGGGAGGGTGAAGGCTAGAGTAGGTCACTGGAGGTTTTTGGGTCAATGCAGAAGTTTGATCACAATCCCATATGGGTAAAAAGTGATATTTTTGAATAAAATGTTGAATTAATACATTTTTCATAGAAGTAAACTGAAAAAATCTACTGTATTAAGACAAAGCAAGTTTATTTGTAGACTGCAATTCATACACAAAGTAATTTACAGAGAAAGGAAGACATTCAAACCATAATACAAACACATAAAAAAATAGATAATTATAATAACTTTAAAATTAAATTAACTTTAAAATAATTCAATGTTTATATAGCAGAGACACTTAATTTCATTCATTAAAAATAAATGCTTATAACATGTAAAGAAGAAAAACTAAAATGGTCTACCCTCTGTTTGACGGAAAACTTGAAGGCACTGTCACCACTTGTACTCGACTCAGATTAATTTGATAACATTTATTGCAAAGCTATGTATTGTTATGGCTTCTTACTGAAATTCTTATTGTCATTAGAGTGTATTGAAATAAATAAAGCATAGTCATAAGTTAATTTAAAAAGAAATGAATGCACAATATCGTTTCAGTCATGGGTACAGCTAAGCAGCTATGGTGTATAATAGCATTATCTACTGTTCCTAGTCCTTTTTCGCAATTCTAGTCCAAACTAATACAGCTTTCTTGTTAAAAAAGAGTCAAAAACTGTGCTGCCTCTACTGGACACTGTGATTTTCAAGTAGTTGGTGACAACACAAAAGACTGCCCTGATTAGAGTCATATGTTTCTGATCATAAACACTTGGCTGCAGGGACAGAGTTTGAAATGTGGATACCTGTTAGACCAATCACACTGTTCCTCATATGTTCAGACCCCGCCCCTCCTCCTCCTCCCTCACTCTTTTCTTTAGTCCTCCAGTTATGGTCTGCGCCTGTGGGTGGAGTTTAGGTGTTAAGGCCCGGCTTACATCTTCAGGAAAACAAAACTGTAACACTATGTACATTCCAATGAATGTACTGTATGTGTCATTTCTAAACATACCTTTCCTCTCCTGTTGTTCCAGTCCCGCCCTGAGCTTCGCCTACCCTCCCACCCCTGTGGCCCTGCACGTCCACCAGCAGCTCATGAGCAGACAGCCGGGCATCGTGGGCTCTGCTTTCGGACACAGTCCTCCTCTCATTCACCCCACCCCCTCTTTTGCCACGCAGCGCCCTGTACCAGGCATCCCACCCCCGGGCCTGAGCGCCAGTGAACGCGCCGCCCTCTCCAATGACTCCTCGCAGGTGAGTCCCGGGAATCCACCACAATTTAAAATAGCAATGTTAATTTCTCTGACTGTGTTAGTCATAATTTTTGTCATATTTTTGCTGACTAAAACGAAATAAATCACAATATCGGGTGACACAATAATCTGTGCTCAATATATCGCAATAACATCAAGGTTCTCTATCTGTTTTTTAAAAAGCATGTTTTAAATAAGGTTTTTTAAATTATAGAGCGTGTATTACACTTCTGTCGGATGTTAAAGGCTAACACATAACATATTTAGATCACATGTTACCTTTGTTGTTTTGAAAATGCTGTATTTACCAATGTTTAATAAGCTTTGCTTTTATTTTGGACCTAACCCTTCTCCCTTTGCTCACCTCAAAAAGTGTGTGCATTTTGCTCTTGAAACTGCTTCACATTGTGTAAGGTTTGTGAAGTTGTAGTATATGATTTTGTATCATGCATTTGTATACTTATGGAAAATTGCCCTTTGGGAGCATGGGGGATGTACGCTTGTGGGCTGAGAGTTGTACTGCTGCAAGCGAGATTCAAACAGTAACATTTTAGATAAATGTAATGAAAGAAAATAAGCATTTCACTGTTTTTGATCATAGTATCAGTAATCATGAATAATTGTTAAATCTTTGTATTTTTACTCACAGTAATTGTAACACTCAAATTTGATATGGTGGCATCCCTAAACTAGATCTCTACAACTAAAAATAAGTATTTGACTAAATCTTGACTAAAACTAAAAATAAATGTAGTAAACTAAAGTCAGAGAAAAATGTTTTGAAATTTCTTGTCAAAATTACCACTCTGTAATAGATGTGGTTGTCGTGTGCCAGCCCCACACAGCCGTGATGTACTGGTATATACAGGCAGGACCCCCCCCTCGGAGCGCCCCTCTCCTGGGACATCCCTCCTACTCCTGTTGTCTTCCTGTTTTTTAGGCTGCCAACGACATGCCTGCCGCAAACAACTAGGGGCTTGTTAGCATAGAATCCCAGCGCTGCCTCCATTAATCACAAGAGAGAGAACAAGGATATAGTGAGCCAATATTGACATGGATAGATGGATCCAAAGGGGCTGGCGCGTCCCCTCCGCAACCCTAACTGTATGTGCGGGCCCACATTTGAAGTAAATATTCCGTGTTTATTACCAGTCCTCCCAGCTGGAACTCCTGATTTAAATTGTGCACTCGGAAATTGCCTCTTCCCTCTCCTGGATAAAAGGGATATTGCTTTGGGCCACAGCTGAAGTGCGTATGATAAAATATGAGTGCAAACATAGGCAAAATCTATATAGAAAATATCAAAGTTTCAAATGCAACATGGAACTTTTGCTCCATACAGCAGAATGCAAAATAAATGAACACAATTGCCCAAACTACACTACAAAGTTTCTTGCAGTGGTTTTCAAACTATTTTTTGTGTTACTCAGGATCTTGTACTTCTTTGGTTTATTATGCGAAATTAACTTTTTGGAGCTGTCTACCATGTCATTCACTCATCAGAAACATGCCTGAAAAGGTTTTAGACGTCAGTTGATCTCTTCTAGGCTCATTTTCGAACCCTTCTTACAGTTAGCAGTACAATTTTATCCAATGCTCTGCCCACAAGCCTCCGTCACTCATGGCCATTTCCCATAAATATTTGAAAGCAAGATACAAAACAATACACTACAACTTCACAAATCTGACGTTAGTTTCATAAGTGGGTGCACAGATGCCAGTGAAGACTCAATGCATGAAAAACAAAACTGAATATTTTCAAAACAATAAAAAGTAACATGGTGATCTAAGCCAAATATTTATGGAGTGGTGCTTGGTTGGTGGTGAGTATTGTCAAACTAAACTGGTATATTATGTGGTAAGTAGGTAAAAGTAGCAAAAATATATCAAAACTATCTTTTAAAATTCTTTCCTAAAAACCCTCTGTCTATTCTTTTAAAGTTGAGAACAAACCCATATTGTTAAGTCATTTCCGCCCCTGAGGCCAGATTGAGTCCAGGCCACAGCCGGGTCACTCTGCCTCTGAATGGCTCATTGAATCGGTTCATAAGTGCGTTTTAATTTCAGTGATTGGCCCCACTAATGCAACACGCTGGATTGAATAGTTTTTCATTAGCGGCCTAGTGCCTGCTTCGCACATACAAGCATACAAAATCATTACATTTAACCATTGTTGTTTTCCCTGGCTGATTAAGAAAATGATCCACTGGCTTTTTAAAAATACATGCATTTTTAATCAGGTTCAGAGATTAACTTATAAATACATGTGAAGGGAAGGAGTAGGCAGACTGCTGTGATTAAACAGTTCACTTCAAATCGTAGTGGATCAAGAAAAGTAATGGTTCTTCAACAGTAGGTCTTATTGTAAATTTGACCTGAATAATAATAATAATAATAATAAGGAATGGATCCATCCAGCTTCTTCAAGTTACAATACCGATTTCAACACCAAAGCTTTAAGCATCTGCCAGTTGCTGATATCAGCTGTATTGTTAAAATTTTCAAATAACTACTAAAGAACTTTGTTGAAATAAAAGTTCATTATGAAATTATGAGACTTTCTGGGCCAACTACAACCAGTAAATCGTCTTTTTACATCATTTATATGCCCAGTCAGGATATTGGCTCATTTGATCTTTGGAAGCTTATATCTGATCCATTCAATTTTTATCTGAAATCTGATACCAGTATCGGATTGGTGCATTCCCAAAACAAGACAGGAATTATCCAGTCAGACTGCTTTCTGATTGGATAATTCTCTTGTGAATCAAAACTCTAAAAGTATAGGTAATGCATATGGAATATTCAAAGGCACACTGTAACTTTCTGCTTTGTTTAAGTTGTGAATTGCTATGGCAACAGTACAAAATCTTCATCAAACTTATCTATCGTGCATTTGTTCAATTTCTCAAATGCTCAAATAAAAAAAAAATTGTGAGCAGGGTCTTATGTCCGCTGAGGAGACTCAAAAAGAGACAAGACAACATTTCCACAGAAACAAGCAGAATAGTAACATTTCATTCATAACTACCAATAAATACACATTTTTTGCATCACTGTCTATGTACACCAGTGTATGAATGTGTCAACAGTAACAATAACAATCATATATTACATATTGAAGCCCATGGAGTTAGCAACACACTGTATATATGACCGAGTTGCATTCTGGACAATATTATGACGCAATGCCCTACACACTTTAACATGGCTGTATTATTTATTTTCTTCCTGCAGACTAAACCAACCAGTGAATCGGCCGTGAGCAGCACCGGAGACCCCATGCACCACAAGCGCTCCAAACTCAAGCCCGAAGAGCAGCTGCCCAGCCCGGGCACGCTCAGTGTCCAGGTGAGGCCGTCTGCTCCCGTCAACACAGAGCAGAAAGGCTGTCTACTCGAGTTGTACACACACAAACACACACCATATGAGTGAGCGCAGTGGTTTCCTTATCCCAGGCTACCTCCCGAGTGAAACAGCCAGCACATTGATTTTTCAAACACTTGGAGGAAATTGTTTTTTAATCAGAAACATGTAAGTGGCAGGAAAAATGAATGAGCTGTGGTACGGGAATGTGTTTGTATGAACAGGCTAAAACAGAACATGTGGTGATCGTGCAGTGGTCAAGAATGTGTGGCACATGGCCTCTGTTCAACTTCCAAAATTTGACATGAATGTATGTTTGAAATTAAAATTTAAACATATATATATATATATATATTAATGAATAAGCATAATATTATGGTCCTGTCTTGCAATGACAAAGGTAGATAGACCTGGACTCATAGGGTTTAAAGTGGTCATATGGAATTTATATGGAAAGTCACCTGCATAGAAAGTTAAAATCATACTCTATAAAAACGTTCTCCTTTGAGATAGTTTTATGCCATACTGTGGAATCTTATAGCCAAAGGAACAACATTTTCATAGAAACAATCAAGACGAGGTTTCTTGGAAATGCAAGCCCACTCAGAGTAGGAACAAGTGTTTCTGTGTTTTTCAAATGCAATGACCATAGCCATAATCAAAACACTTTTATTTTAATCTCTTTTTAGGCAAAAAAGTTACATACTGGGGATTTAGATATCTTTCTCTATATCTTAAGTTGAACAGTGTACTCTGAAAATTACTATACCTTTTCCCCCATTTATGGAGTGTTTGAAATTCAAAATTAAAAACAAAAAAAGTAAAAATTTCTCCTACAGTTTTTAACTTACTCTACATGTAAAGCAGTACACTTTTGCATCTGTATAAAGTGGTCTTTTGCATCTGCTTCGTGTAGGACCATCCAGATGGCATGACGCTGGTGAAGGAAGAAGGGGACAAGGACGAGAGTAAACAGGAGCCTGAGGTGGTCTACGAGACCAACTGTCACTGGGAGAACTGCTGCCGCGAGTTCGACACACAAGACCAGCTAGTCCAAGTGAGTCCATACAAACAGATAACTAGGAATCGTCTGATGTTGATTTTTTGGTCTTTTTTTTGCCAATACCAATATCCAATATTTGTCTTGCTGCTGTGTTCGATAATTGATACTTTAAAGTCTAAGACAGAACCACAAATTGATGTTAAGTTATCATAAAGATTAAATTTGCTTTACACAATAAAAATGTTGAAGTGCGATATACCGCTGAAGAACATATATACAATAAATGATAAGAATGAAACAAATTGATGACATCAACACAATAAACCTAAAGCAAGATTATCTAAAAATGAGATTAATGGTTTTGTTAAAAAAAAAAAAAAAACATGAGCTAAAATATTTGACCAATTCCAATATCTGTGCAAACCCTGCTGTATTACTGATGTTGGTCTATATACCCCCTATCCCTACAAATAACCTCTACCAGACCAGACCATGTCCCTATCTGGCCCTGTGTGTCTGGGGCCTGTACTCCAGAGCCACTGGCAGTGACTGATACAGCGGCTGGATTCCTGATTGGATCCACACGCAGCAGTAATGGGCTCAAAAGCTGGAGAGTAGCACGCGGCGGCTAACTGTGGTTTAAGCCTGCCTCCCAGAGCTAGCATGTGCAGCTAATGTTGTACAGCGGACTGGCCCTCCTCCTGTCTGTTATCACAAGTCTCACACCAGCACAAAGATGGATGGCCCTCATCACACAGAGCCCCGGGGTGCAGGCTAAAGCTAAATATTAATGACATTATGGCCGTGTCACCTCTACTGTGGCTAAATACGCTGTGGCTAATAGTTGCGTACTCTCTGTGGATCGTGAATGGCTTGTTTTGTGTGTGACCTAATAGTTGAAGTTGACAAAGTAGCGTAGAAAAGACATCCGCTTCCATTCATTTAAACATGGTGAAAGTGAAACAAAGAAACAGCATTTGAATTTTGTGAACTTGCATTTTTGGCTGTAGGATTAGCTGCAATCAAATGGAAATAGCAATTTTAGTAGCTGTAAATCACTATCTGTAAATATATCATATTAATTATATTCTATTAGGTAAACATGTTTTTTTTTTTTTTTTTTCAAATGTTAATATTCCATAACTGATTAAAATATTCATTGTAAACAGAATCTTGATTGTAAAATGTAAATTCCAAGTAATACAATACAGAAAAGACACAATCACTGGTATATCACTTTATATTTCAAGTAGTGGCCAGCTTTATAAAGTGTGAACATCACATGACGTAAACAGCCAAATAAAAAATCTGTTTACATTTAGGTTTACTTTTTTCAAAGTATTGAAATGATTTTGCTTCTAAAATTGTACTTAATTGTGAAATTAGCTCAGTTGATCAGAATCAATGACCCTGTAGACTGTATAAAGAACTGTACTAAGCGAGGAATAGGATTTTTTTAACAGACAAAATAGAGAAATAAAAACACCAGTATCACGTAGAGTGGGTTAATACGAATATTTTAAGACCAAAATGAGGCTTGCAGCAGCAGGTACAGTGAGAGAGGTGACCATTTTCCAATGTAAGTCAATGGGAGCCAGGGTCAGAAGGACGGTGGTGCGATTTCAGCTCTTACAGATGAAATCTTCAATTTGGCATTGGGCAAGACACTTAACTTGAATGTGTGTGTGTAAATGGGTGATATCTTAATGTAAAGCGCTATGACTATTTACCATTATATTATGTTTTTAGTTTCTACAATCATCTTGTGACTTTAATAAACCCCATTACAGATTAATCGAATCATCTCAACATCCATACTTTTGTTACTTTGTGTTCTTTTTGACTTTGCTGATTTGTGTCACCTACAAATGTATATTTATAGCATCACAACTTTCTCCAGACGCTATCGTAACCTTGAACTGTCAACCCATTTTATCAATCATCCAATAATGATGAACCTAAACACCTAAACATACAAGATCATTAATTCACTATCACCTTACTCTCACCTTTTCCATTGTGACCTATGCACACTTGAACTTAAAAAAAAACAATTAATATATACCAGTATGATCCCAACAAAAGGGTCAAACCTAACCTATCGTGCACTGGGTTTGGTGTGCGCGTGAAACAGCCATCAGCACACATCTGATAGAACTCCTCACAGCTGTCTGCTCAGCGCCCTGACATGGCAATCCTCCGCTGCGGTGGTAACCCCTATCTATAATTGATATCCTGCGCTCGGAATGGGCTGCCTCCCGCGTTTGAAGGGCTCGGCTCAAAGGTTGAAGATCTTGACAACTTCTTGGCCCTGTTTCTGGCAGCGGGACGGTGTAGCAGAGGAGGGAGAGGGCTGTTTGAGGAAGAGGAAGGCATGGTAGTCGCTCCAGGTGGCCGGGATAACTAGACAATGTCCATTCTAACATATATTGTATCATATAGGAATGGAGAGATTGGCAATATGGGAAATCTTGTAATGTATGGATAAAAATATAGAAAATAGACATCACACTTGCTGTTTAAGAGTCAGAATCTTTTGAAATATGACAGTATTTCATAAATGGTCTGTCATAAAATTTGGCGGGGGGGGGTGTATTTTAAGGATTTTTCTGAAAATTGTAATAAATATTACATCGAGAGGTTTGATAACACAGAAAGAAAGATTTGGATATCATTAACTTCTAACCCCCAACTGCTAAAATAAGAGAAAAATGTTATTGAAAGGGCTGATTTAGAGTTAAATTGTTGGTTTGCCTCTTGGCTCGACCATACAAAATGCCTCTACCCTTTCTCTCTCCACTAAATTGGCTTTTTCAATAAGATGTTTTCTTATTTTAGCAGTTGGAGGTTAGAAGTTACTTTCTGTTTTATCAAACCTCTTGATGTAATATTTAATTAAAAATTTCTGAAAAAAAAAAACAATAATAGATCAAATACAGCTACTTTTTTTTTTTTTACCAGAATTTTATGACAAACCATGAGAGAATTACATTGGTGTAACAATCACACATGAATCACTACATCACCAGCAAGCATAAATATTACCTTTTAATTTTTTCCCCCTCAACATGACAACAACTAAGCAGACCAAGCCCCAGGGTTTCAAAATAGCCACCCGTTCAAGTCTGTCTAGGTACTTCCGGTGGCTGTAGGCCAACCGAGCATGCACAGTAGTGCTCTTTTCTCCCATGGGCACATGCCAATGCACACGAGCGCATGCACGGAGAGCGGCCTTGTGTATCACGTGATCGCTTTGACCAATCAGAGGGAGAGGAGCTAGAGCGCAGCAGAGCAGAGCCAGAGCTAACTATTATAAAGTGTGTTTTAAGACAACTGAAAAAAAAGTTAATATATGTGTATAAAAATAGGTAAAAATTTACACAAAATCCGACATTTTTGAAAATTGTAGACGTTTGTGATTACATTGCGCTGTATGAGAAAAATCTTGTCTCAGCCCAGGGAATTTTTTCCGCTGTAGTACCAGTGAGTGGCCACTACGTCAACTGGAGGCAGCTACAAGCAGCAATAGTGTATCCAGTTATTTTAATAGATCCATGAAGCAGACAAATAAGAAGTCAGAAGGTCCCATACTTGACTTTTTTCACATGTATTCCGGCAAAATGTGTCTTTCCATAGTACAGATATTGTATAAGCAGCACTTGAGGTCAAAATAATCTCTAATTAAAAAGAATTTTACTGTCTGATAATTAGGAAGTCCATGTTAGCATGCTAGTTGTTGTCAGCTTTACCTTCACGGGAAAACTCTGCTCCAGTCTGCTTTCTTGGTGAATAATTAGGATGCACGAGGGAAGCGAGGAATAAGTTTGGACCACCGCAAACAATTTAAAATGAACTAGTTCTTTTTTTTTTTTTTTTTGTGAATTGACCTTATAGATATTTCATGGCAAAGGACAATGTTATCAATAGATGAAATTGTCTCTTGCCCCCCACCTGGGATTATGACATCGCATGCTAGAATCTGAAAACCACCAGTAGCGTAAGTTTTGAATCTCTTGACTTCCCTTCCTCTACATAACCTCCAACTGCTCCACAAAATCCCCATTACTCTCCACTTCCCTATCTCCAAATTGTTTCTGCAGTTTGTCGCCACTCGCAGATATTGCATTTTCCTTCTCATTTGCACATGCAGATATGGAGGGGAGATGCCAGTGGAGTCTCCGCGCTCTAATTCTACGTCGCAGACTGGGAATCGCTCTTATCAGGCCTGGCCCCACCCCCTCCGTAATGGGATAAGTACAGTATTTGGACCACAGTGGCTCGTCGGGGGGTTGGGGGCCTCATATGGGGGTGGCGCTGATGGCGGAGAGTTCCATATAAGCAAACAATAGAGCACCCCCTTCCCCCCTGTTCTGAAATAGCTTTGGGGAAAACAAAATGCAATTGTTGTTAGAGCCAATTGGACTGTGTTTTTTGGTCATGTGACTTCAGGTATGGGAATGCAAGTCCCATTACAGATAACATGACACTATAGGAAATACTGTTCTACTTTGTATTGTATTTTGTATTCTACTTCTGACGTAATACTTTATAAGAACCAAAAATAAACAGCCCAGAGCCCAAATTTTATGTACAATAAAACTGCAATGAGGTTAATGTTATTTTACTATTATTATCAATTATTATTTTTCCCCATTTCAGATTTAAAAATCCCAAATTTGACTTGTTTAAACTAACTTAACTTAAATTATCTGTCTGGTTAGTCACTCCTTGGTTTCAAATGAATTCAGTTACTCAATAGAAGTCTCAGTGGTGGTTTCAATTTACTTTAAAAAAACATAAAAAGGATGGAAGTTAGCATGTATATGTTTTTTTTTACTTGAAGTAGCCTTAGTACTATTATATACTACAGGGGTTGGACGAGGCACAATTTTCACAAGGAGAGACAAACCTCAAGATTGGGTCCACGAGAACAAGACAAGATGAGATTTTTACATCATTTATAGTGTGATTCATTTCGCAATGTTGGTTTCACTATTTTTATTTATTTTAATACATAAGCAGTCATTGTAGTACTGCTTTTTGGAACTACAGCT